TAATGGTGTGCGCATAAAGGACAAATTGAGGCTGGAATCAGTATAGGGACGACTTACAATTCGTTCTCCAGGAACTAATTGTACCTTGACTTGTAATTCTAGATGTCACAAACTTAGTCTCAACCCTTTATGGAAGAGGAGACTCAGACTCAACCTTACCCTCTTCTTCAAAATACTTAATAAACTATCCTTTACAACCAACCAAGCGATTCAGTATGCAGAAGCTTCTCATTACGACATACGTAACTGCTTGTCAATAGCGAAACAAACCCATTCTAAATCATTTCTCTATATGAATCACTTTACCTGTTAATTTTACAGACTTTGGAATAATCTCTCATAATCTATGCGTACGATAAAGTCTCTCCCATTGTTTGTTCGCCGCATTGATGCATACTGCTCCTCTGAAATTGCATCCTTATTAGTGAAATCCCCAAGGTAAACCACTTATCTGCTGTCACTTTACGTTAACGCTGTCCCTAGTAACCTTAACTTATTTCAATAATATCTGACATGAACAGTGGTAAACCTGACCGACATATTTTGGTAATCATTGTTTTGTTGTTCTATGCTCTCTGTTTTCATTTTACTTTTTCTCTAGTTGTAATCAGATATCCTAATTCTTTCTGGCACAGGAAATAACCTCAAATAACACCTTTCATAAACCAACAGGCTACCTACTGAGGAAAATAATTAAAAGTTCCCTGCTGATGCATTGGATTGCTGTAACACATGTCACAAGTGTACTACCTTGACAATGACTAATTTAGCGAACTTAAAACAATCTTATATCTCATGTTTATGCTTCACATCGACTGTTACTAATTATATCAAATTGGTAATGCCTACAAACTGGCATGAATTGTGTAATGATTATTATTGTTTTCAGAATATATTATTATTCAGTCAGTCAGCTACAACGTAGGACCAGGCACATATATGCATCGGTCCAAGTTGCCATACCTTGTTAGCACAACAAGATGAACACCGGATTCATAGAAATAGTTAATGAAGTTGTGGTAGTATATAAAAGATAGGTTGTATATAAGGATTTAGTATAGGAAGGAAGAACGTTATGAAACAGTTTTAATCCTAACGTTTGAAAGGAAATAAAGAGTGTATACACCTACGCCATTGTGATCGATTCTGAGCCATGTCACCCATAGACTCCAACCAGTGGTTACGATAGTCACGACGACTCCAAACAGGTAGTCTGCATCTGCCGACATGGATCAGACTAGAAGTTAGTGATTTCAAGCACTGATGCCACGTTTTTGTATGGCCGCCCCTAAATCCCTTCCAACCATCCCCTACACTAGTCAGCATAGCGCGTCGTGGTAATCGGTGTTCAGGCATACGTAAGACGTGGCCCAACCATCTCAGTTGATGAAGATTCATGACCTCATTAACTGATTTACCATGATTCCCTAATACCCTGCATCGAATCTCACTATTACTTACCCGGTTATCACAGCAGATGCGAGCAATATTTCTAAGACATCTGTGGTCAAATACTAGTAGCTTACGAGTATCTTCTGCTTTTAATGACCATGTTTCACAGTCGTAAAGTAGAACAGAGCGAATTGCTGCGCAGTATACTCGTCCCTTAATTGATAGACGGATATCTCGTCTTCGCCATAGGTGACGTATATTGGCAAAAGCCAAACGACCCTTTTGAATCCGTGCTGAGATTTCGTCAGACACCAACCAATTAGGGCTGATCAGACTTCCAAGACAAGTAAAGTTGTCGACGTGTTCGACTACTTCACCCCCTATCCTTAGTTCAGGTGTTGACACAGGCCAGTCCTGGAGTAACAATTTACATTTGGATGGGAAGAAACGCATCCCAAACATCCTGACATTATTACTCAGTTCTAACAGAATACTCTGCATTTTGCCAGCGTCTTCACCAAACAGGACTATGTCATCTGCGTATTCTAAATTGATAAGTGAACCGTCGTATTCACGTCATCAAACTTAGAGCAAATGAACAGGAGTATAAATTCATTCGCGGGGGAATGTGATGATGATTGACAAAAAATGCATAGCTTGGTGAAAGATTTAACAAAAATACCGGGGCTGCAACATCAAGACGCATAAAAATCATTCAGGAAATATTGATCGCTAACCGGTCTATATTAGAGTGAGTAAAATCAAATCGAGTGTAGTGCAATCAGCATTAGGAAGACTGATGGTTTCATTTGGTTGGAAACAAAAGGCGAATATAAATTCTTCGTCAAAAAATAACACCCCACACAATTTACTATCAAAATAAACGAAAACAGAGTTAAAATACTGACAGAAGACGAAATTGAAGTCTTTTAACACCCCGTGGTATTAAGCCATGGTTGCACAAAAATCGTTTGTTACTTTACCTAAGGAATCATAGATAGAGTTGCTTAAAATTGGTTCTAAAAACTAAAATTCTGAAAAGAGGAAACGTAAGAAATACCTTCACTCCCCACATACCACGTTAGTTTCCTTATCAGCAGCAGTGACAATGGTCCGTTTAGCTACTATCTGGTGGATGACTACCATTGTTATCCTGTGACAGAATGAAACGATCAAACTTTAAGTTTCAGACGATATCAATTATTGTTGCTACAGAATTAAGTCGATTCTGCTTCTTAAACCAGATAATACTGTACAACCAGCCTTGATTGGAAATCTGGAGCCTCAACATATTTTTTACGCCTAAGGAGTGTATGACGAAATAGTCCTACCACTATCATGGGAAGTAGGTATAAACTCGTGCAGTAGATCTATTGACCATTGTGAATGGCCACGCGAACTTGGTAGCCAAAATGCGTGTAATCAGATAGTTATAGAAAGCGTAGTGATGGTAATCTGTTAATATTGTGCCTATCGATGAGTGCATTTCAATTTAAAAAAATGACAGAACTTGAAACGACTTCTTAAATACCAGGCTAAAACTCATCCTTATAACGAGTACGTGTTGCCTGTTCTTTTTACTGGATATAAAACCGGGTACAGGTAGGTACATTCTGTACCATTTAAGTCGTCATCACAAAAGGAGTGGAGGATCCACGATCTGTATTAACAACCAAATCAGTACGATAAGACTGGCATATAGTGTTCTAAGTAAAACAACAGATTAATTATGGCTCACTGTATACATCACCAGTTATAAGATACATGTGAGATGTCTGTATGGAACATACAACTGAAAATCTGAAACAGACATAGCATTTTTCAACTGTTCCACAAATTTCGGGATCAAAATTTGATTTCAAACGAACCGCTGGAGATTTTAATCTCCCGAAAAGTAAATGAAAGACGGGCAGTTGTCCACAGTGATGTGAATAATTAGATAAATGCTTGTTACAGAACAATGTAAAATGCAACTTAAACAGTAGAGATATTTTGACTTACCGTTTATCTCAACATGCGTTAGAAAAGTGTTCTCTCTAAATGTTGGTAAATGCTGGTGTTTATCCAAATAATAAGAACATCAGCTTCGCTATCTCGAGATTTAAGACTGCAGACATGGCAAATCCAGCTAATTGATAAACCAAAACACTGATAGAGTGACAACTGAGCTGATGCAATTCAATCTGTTAGGGCCTTTTTCGTACTTTCTATGAACAATGTCGTCTGTAGCAGCTTTGACGTTTTAGGTCAACGTTTTACATGCAGACATTCTGAAAAAAGCCTAATTGTTTCAAGTAAAAGAAGTATATAACACTTCAAATTTTAGCCATCAGTAATTCAATGAACTGCTAGTATGGTAAAAAATGTTATATCTACAATTTCATGACCATATATTCAGCAGGATCAATGTCGATTGCATAAACCTGTAATTCTACTTTAAAGTATATAGGGGACCGATAGATGAATGTGATATTGCCTTAAAACTCGTTCAAGAAACTCAAATGGCCTGGGTTTTTTTAGCAGAAATCACAGCAGTCAACCGGAATACAGGTGGATGTACAGGTTTCCCAATTCATAGTCTTCACTAGCGTTGACCTAGGTAAATAGCGTGTATTTCACAAAAGAACTTTAGGGGTAGGTTGTGACCACAGCTATACTACACAGCTTATGACCTCAGGATTGAATCCTCTCTGTAATTGGTGTGTTGTGCCTGATCTTATATTTATATCATCCTCGTACACCTGTTACCAAAATCTTGAAATTGAATAGTAGTTTAGGCCCATTTTGCTTAATATAAACCGGGAAATCTCATTGACTTTGTCAGCGTACATCATTATACGTCTTACATACGATAAAACGTCTTACTACATACGTTTAATGTCATTTAGAATAGGTGGTCACTTGTAACTCGGTAAAGCAGATACCATAAATCACTTGACTCGCAATAAAAGTGGATTTTTGAATAACTTCATAAGACTAAGCTAGTAGTGTACTTGAATTATTTAACGTACAGGTAAACGTTTAACAAACTGAATGTGGTGAATCACCTTTGTACCTCTCTAATATATCAGTGCAAGGATAATGATCAACTCATGAAATCCTAAAGTGTACTCTTGGTTATTAATTACGCAGCTGAGAATTATAGATTATCTGTTTTATATTTTCAGAATTATAGGTTAAAATATATGCAATCACGTCACAAAATCCAGTAAAGTTAAAAAAAAATTGATAAAGTTTTTTTATTTTACTGTACTTTGTTATGAAACGGTAATATACTGCGGTCTTGAAGGATATGAATGATGAACCTAGAATCAACTGATTAAAATGTAGCTTTGTTGTGATATATCACACATGTAGAAAGATTTTAAAACACAGAAGCTTAAAAGTCTTAACAGAATTATTGCTCCTAAAACTATTAAATATCCTATATAATTGATGAATTTAGATATTTGTCTTCCAACGATCAACACTGCCGGTACTGCAATGGAGATGGACTGGATAATCAAGTTTGTAAAACCACTTGATTGAATACTCGGGCGACACATTATACAGGGACTAGGTCTTGTCGTACTAGATATCCGATTCATGGCCAATGTTAGAGAATCAGAGTGATCCTGTACACAACTGTAATGTAATGTAATGACAAAGAGTTACTCATATTGAGTCCCGAGTAGAAACCGATTGGAAGAAATGGGATGAAACATTCAATCGTAAGTAAGTCATGCGTCTGTTTTTACACACTCAGTGACTATTAAAAACCACACGCCAATATCGATACCCAATGCTGAAAATCAGTCTTCTAAACACCTAAACCCTGACTTCCAACTCCACTACTTTTGAAATCTTTCTTCTTATACCAATACTCTTGACCATATTACAAAATAACCCAGTCCCTAAGACGTCTTAACTGTAGCTTATAACCTTGAAACTCCCAACCCTGGTATTCCTTACCTTAACACTCTCAACCATAAATTACTGACCTCAACAGTTTATTCCACGAGACCGCTATTAATCAATACTTTTGATCTTGGAAATATAGTGAGAATCATGATTTTATCAACAATCTATTCACAGACGTACTAACTTTATACACTGGTTAGCTTAATTTTGATTGATTGTTGAAAGCCCTTGGTATAGTGTGATTTTAGTAACATAACCAAAGAAGTTTTATTCCTTTTCCTCTGTTTGTATTATTCTGCTCCTTAATGATGAATACTTGTTCAAACGTGTAAGAGGTCAACATTTAATATAATTTGACCTAATGACTTGGTACTACGATATCCAACGGCAGCGGAATCTAGACAGCTTAGATGTAGGAATATTTGATCATTCATGCTAGCTCGCCACATCTAGCTGAACTATTAAAGGCTAAGAAGTACCTGGACGTTTAGCATTGCCTTGTTTGCATTTCATCAGCCATACAGGAATCGAAATTCATATCCTTGTCGTGTAACTTCATGATATAATTTAATTTGATTTTCTGATAGAAATTTTCCGGTTAATACATCTACCTTGAGACCAGCACTAACAAGAAATAATAGAAAAGATGCAACAAATTAGTCTTGTTCGTTGTAAGAAGACAATGTAACACATCGGCATTAATTCAAATCCTCATGTTAACATCGTAATGGAGCGTCTACGTAGTGTACAAGCAATGATCTTAGGTTCAACATCTCGTAATTCCCAAATTTCCACATCAGCACTTTTCAGCAGCGTATCAGGCAACTGTAAACAGTTGAATTTCTCTCAGCAGAATAATGAATCTTTTCGTCATCAATCACATATCGCCCCTTTAAATGAGGAGGATAATCTCCAGCGTACTATTGTCAAACAGTTGAAAACAGGAACTCGTCAACTGACGCTTATGCCAATTCATATTTGAGTATGTTCGTGTGAGCACTTCATTTCATTTGCCTATGTACACTGTAATCCATGCATCAAAGTGAATATTTTTCAGGACATGTGGTAAAGAGGTGTGCATACAGTGAACTCCTAATCCCGATTGACTGAAATTATTTGAACGAAGAATATTCTTTTCAATAATTTCTCATCAGGTTCTACAATTATAAATTAATAATCCATAAAAGAAGATTGGCCAAGTTTAAGGCAGAGTACATCAATTGAAGAAACTGTAATATATGAATCAAGGATTGTTTGTCATATAAAATAAGCATGAGTCAATTGAAGCTAGACCACCATGGAAAACCTGGAAATACTGGACGGCCGTTTCGTCCTATTATGTGACTCCTCAGCAGTGCGCATCCACGAACCCGCTCGCGCGAGATTCGAACCCAGGACCTACCAGCTTCCAGCCGAAGCCCTTAACCGATAGACCACTGAGCTGGCATCCAACGGTGTTAATGTCTAACTTCAACTGATCCACGAAGTTGAGCAACCATTCACCAATTGTCTTCAGTGAGTTCCTATCTCACAACAGACGGGTTCGTGGATGCGCACTGCTGAGGAGTCCCATAATAGGACGAAACGGCCGTCCAGTGTTTCCAGGTTTTCCATGGTGGTCTAGCTTCAATTGACTCATGCTTTAAAAATATGAAAAATACTAAATCTCCACAAAACCCCCTCTGATAATTAATATAATCATATGCTCACCAGTGACTTCGAGAAGTATAACGAGGAGCTCTAGTGAGAAGCAGTGACCAGTGGAGTTCAAAACCACGTCTGTTGTGAGATAGGAACTCACTGAAGACAATTGGTGAATGGTTGCTCAACTTCGTGGATCAGTTGAAGTTAGACATTAACACCGTTGGATGCCAGCTCAGTGGTCTATCGGTTAAGGGCTTCGGCTGGAAGCTGGTAGGTCCTGGGTTCGAATCTCGCGCGAGCGGGTTCGTGGATGCGCACTGCTGAGGAGTCCCATAATAGGACGAAACGGCCGTCCAGTGTTTCCAGGTTTTCCATGGTGGTCTAGCTTCAATTGACTCATGCTTTAAAAATATGAAAAATACTAAATCTCCACAAAACCCCCTCTGATAATTAATATAATCATATGCTCACCAGTGACTTCGAGAAGTATAACGAGGAGCTCTAGTGAGAAGCAGTGACCAGTGGAGTTCAAAACCACGTCTGTTGTGAGATAGGAACTCACTGAAGACAATTGGTGAATGGTTGCTCAACTTCGTGGATCAGTTGAAGTTAGACATTAACACCGTTGGATGCCAGCTCAGTGGTCTATCGGTTAAGGGCTTCGGCTGGAAGCTGGTAGGTCCTGGGTTCGAATCTCGCGCGAGCGGGTTCGTGGATGCGCACTGCTGAGGAGTCCCATAATAGGACGAAACGGCCGTCCAGTGTTTCCAGGTTTTCCATGGTGGTCTAGCTTCAATTGACTCATGCTTTAAAAATATGAAAAATACTAAATCTCCACAAAACCCCCTCTGATAATTAATATAATCATATGCTCACCAGTGACTTCGAGAAGTATAACGAGGAGCTCTAGTGAGAAGCAGTGACCAGTGGAGTTCAAAACCACGTCTGTTGTGAGATAGGAACTCACTGAAGACAATTGGTGAATGGTTGCTCAACTTCGTGGATCAGTTGAAGTTAGACATTAACACCGTTGGATGCCAGCTCAGTGGTCTATCGGTTAGGGGCTTCGGCTGGAAGCTGGTAGGTCCTGGGTTCGAATCTCGCGCGAGCGGGTTCGTGGATGCGCACTGCTGAGGAGTCCCATAATAGGACGAAACGGCCGTCCAGTGTTTCCAGGTTTTCCATGGTGGTCTAGCTTCAATTGACTCATGCTTTAAAAATATGAAAAATACTAAATCTCCACAAAACCCCCTCTGATAATTAATATAATCATATGCTCACCAGTGACTTCGAGAAGTATAACGAGGAGCTCTAGTGAGAAGCAGTGACCAGTGGAGTTCAAAACCACGTCTGTTGTGAGATAGGAACTCACTGAAGACAATTGGTGAATGGTTGCTCAACTTCGTGGATCAGTTGAAGTTAGACATTAACACCGTTGGATGCCAGCTCAGTGGTCTATCGGTTAAGGGCTTCGGCTGGAAGCTGGTAGGTCCTGGGTTCGAATCTCGCGCGAGCGGGTTCGTGGATGCGCACTGCTGAGGAGTCCCATAATAGGACGAAACGGCCGTCCAGTGTTTCCAGGTTTTCCATGGTGGTCTAGCTTCAATTGACTCATGCTTTAAAAATATGAAAAATACTAAATCTCCACAAAACCCCCTCTGATAATTAATATAATCATATGCTCACCAGTGACTTCGAGAAGTATAACGAGGAGCTCTAGTGAGAAGCAGTGACCAGTGGAGTTCAAAACCACGTCTGTTGTGAGATAGGAACTCACTGAAGACAATTGGTGAATGGTTGCTCAACTTCGTGGATCAGTTGAAGTTAGACATTAACACCGTTGGATGCCAGCTCAGTGGTCTATCGGTTAAGGGCTTCGGCTGGAAGCTGGTAGGTCCTGGGTTCGAATCTCGCGCGAGCGGGTTCGTGGATGCGCACTGCTGAGGAGTCCCATAATAGGACGAAACGGCCGTCCAGTGTTTCCAGGTTTTCCATGGTGGTCTAGCTTCAATTGACTCATGCTTTAAAAATATGAAAAATACTAAATCTCCACAAAACCCCCTCTGATAATTAATATAATCATATGCTCACCAGTGACTTCGAGAAGTATAACGAGGAGCTCTAGTGAGAAGCAGTGACCAGTGGAGTTCAAAACCACGTCTGTTGTGAGATAGGAACTCACTGAAGACAATTGGTGAATGGTTGCTCAACTTCGTGGATCAGTTGAAGTTAGACATTAACACCGTTGGATGCCAGCTCAGTGGTCTATCGGTTAAGGGCTTCGGCTGGAAGCTGGTAGGTCCTGGGTTCGAATCTCACGCGAGCGGGTTCGTGGATGCGCACTGCTGAGGAGTCCCATAATAGGACGAAACGGCCGTCCAGTGTTTCCAGGTTTTCCATGGTGGTCTAGCTTCAATTGACTCATGCTTTAAAAATATGAAAAATACTAAATCTCCACAAAACCCCCTCTGATAATTAATATAATCATATGCTCACCAGTGACTTCGAGAAGTATAACGAGGAGCTCTAGTGAGAAGCAGTGACCAGTGGAGTTCAAAACCACGTCTGTTGTGAGATAGGAACTCACTGAAGACAATTGGTGAATGGTTGCTCAACTTCGTGGATCAGTTGAAGTTAGACATTAACACCGTTGGATGCCAGCTCAGTGGTCTATCGGTTAAGGGCTTCGGCTGGAAGCTGGTAGGTCCTGGGTTCGAATCTCGCGCGAGCGGGTTCGTGGATGCGCACTGCTGAGGAGTCCCATAATAGGACGAAACGGCCGTCCAGTGTTTCCAGGTTTTCCATGGTGGTCTAGCTTCAATTGACTCATGCTTTAAAAATATGAAAAATACTAAATCTCCACAAAACCCCCTCTGATAATTAATATAATCATATGCTCACCAGTGACTTCGAGAAGTATAACGAGGAGCTCTAGTGAGAAGCAGTGACCAGTGGAGTTCAAAACCACGTCTGTTGTGAGATAGGAACTCACTGAAGACAATTGGTGAATGGTTGCTCAACTTCGTGGATCAGTTGAAGTTAGACATTAACACCGTTGGATGCCAGCTCAGTGGTCTATCGGTTAGGGGCTTCGGCTGGAAGCTGGTAGGTCCTGGGTTCGAATCTCACGCGAGCGGGTTCGTGGATGCGCACTGCTGAGGAGTCCCATAATAGGACGAAACGGCCGTCCAGTGTTTCCAGGTTTTCCATGGTGGTCTAGCTTCAATTGACTCATGCTTTAAAAATATGAAAAATACTAAATCTCCACAAAACCCCCTCTGATAATTAATATAATCATATGCTCACCAGTGACTTCGAGAAGTATAACGAGGAGCTCTAGTGAGAAGCAGTGACCAGTGGAGTTCAAAACCACGTCTGTTGTGAGATAGGAACTCACTGAAGACAATTGGTGAATGGTTGCTCAACTTCGTGGATCAGTTGAAGTTAGACATTAACACCGTTGGATGCCAGCTCAGTGGTCTATCGGTTAAGGGCTTCGGCTCGAAGCTGGTAGGTCCTGGGTTCGAATCTCGCGCGAGCGGGTTCGTGGATGCGCACTGCTGAGGAGTCCCATAATAGGACGAAACGGCCGTCCAGTGTTTCCAGGTTTTCCATGGTGGTCTAGCTTCAATTGACTCATGCTTTAAAAATATGAAAAATACTAAATCTCCACAAAACCCCCTCTGATAATTAATATAATCATATGCTCACCAGTGACTTCGAGAAGTATAACGAGGAGCTCTAGTGAGAAGCAGTGACCAGTGGAGTTCAAAACCACGTCTGTTGTGAGATAGGAACTCACTGAAGACAATTGGTGAATGGTTGCTCAACTTCGTGGATCAGTTGAAGTTAGACATTAACACCGTTGGATGCCAGCTCAGTGGTCTATCGGTTAAGGGCTTCGGCTGGAAGCTGGTAGGTCCTGGGTTCGAATCTCGCGCGAGCGGGTTCGTGGATGCGCACTGCTGAGGAGTCCCATAATAGGACGAAACGGCCGTCCAGTGTTTCCAGGTTTTCCATGGTGGTCTAGCTTCAATTGACTCATGCTTTAAAAATATGAAAAATACTAAATCTCCACAAAACCCCCTCTGATAATTAATATAATCATATGCTCACCAGTGACTTCGAGAAGTATAACGAGGAGCTCTAGTGAGAAGCAGTGACCAGTGGAGTTCAAAACCACGTCTGTTGTGAGATAGGAACTCACTGAAGACAATTGGTGAATGGTTGCTCAACTTCGTGGATCAGTTGAAGTTAGACATTAACACCGTTGGATGCCAGCTCAGTGGTCTATCGGTTAAGGGCTTCGGCTGGAAGCTGGTAGGTCCTGGGTTCGAATCTCGCGCGAGCGGGTTCGTGGATGCGCACTGCTGAGGAGTCCCATAATAGGACGAAACGGCCGTCCAGTGTTTCCAGGTTTTCCATGGTGGTCTAGCTTCAATTGACTCATGCTTTAAAAATATGAAAAATACTAAATCTCCACAAAACCCCCTCTGATAATTAATATAATCATATGCTCACCAGTGACTTCGAGAAGTATAACGAGGAGCTCTAGTGAGAAGCAGTGACCAGTGGAGTTCAAAACCACGTCTGTTGTGAGATAGGAACTCACTGAAGACAATTGGTGAATGGTTGCTCAACTTCGTGGATCAGTTGAAGTTAGACATTAACACCGTTGGATGCCAGCTCAGTGGTCTATCGGTTAAGGGCTTCGGCTCGAAGCTGGTAGGTCCTGGGTTCGAATCTCGCGCGAGCGGGTTCGTGGATGCGCACTGCTGAGGAGTCCCATAATAGGACGAAACGGCCGTCCAGTGTTTCCAGGTTTTCCATGGTGGTCTAGCTTCAATTGACTCATGCTTTAAAAATATGAAAAATACTAAATCTCCACAAAACCCCCTCTGATAATTAATATAATCATATGCTCACCAGTGACTTCGAGAAGTATAACGAGGAGCTCTAGTGAGAAGCAGTGACCAGTGGAGTTCAAAACCACGTCTGTTGTGAGATAGGAACTCACTGAAGACAATTGGTGAATGGTTGCTCAACTTCGTGGATCAGTTGAAGTTAGACATTAACACCGTTGGATGCCAGCTCAGTGGTCTATCGGTTAAGGGCTTCGGCTGGAAGCTGGTAGGTCCTGGGTTCGAATCTCGCGCGAGCGGGTTCGTGGATGCGCACTGCTGAGGAGTCCCATAATAGGACGAAACGGCCGTCCAGTGTTTCCAGGTTTTCCATGGTGGTCTAGCTTCAATTGACTCATGCTTTAAAAATATGAAAAATACTAAATCTCCACAAAACCCCCTCTGATAATTAATATAATCATATGCTCACCAGTGACTTCGAGAAGTATAACGAGGAGCTCTAGTGAGAAGCAGTGACCAGTGGAGTTCAAAACCACGTCTGTTGTGAGATAGGAACTCACTGAAGACAATTGGTGAATGGTTGCTCAACTTCGTGGATCAGTTGAAGTTAGACATTAACACCGTTGGATGCCAGCTCAGTGGTCTATCGGTTAAGGGCTTCGGCTGGAAGCTGGTAGGTCCTGGGTTCGAATCTCACGCGAGCGGGTTCGTGGATGCGCACTGCTGAGGAGTCCCATAATAGGACGAAACGGCCGTCCAGTGTTTCCAGGTTTTCCATGGTGGTCTAGCTTCAATTGACTCATGCTTTAAAAATATGAAAAATACTAAATCTCCACAAAACCCCCTCTGATAATTAATATAATCATATGCTCACCAGTGACTTCGAGAAGTATAACGAGGAGCTCTAGTGAGAAGCAGTGACCAGTGGAGTTCAAAACCACGTCTGTTGTGAGATAGGAACTCACTGAAGACAATTGGTGAATGGTTGCTCAACTTCGTGGATCAGTTGAAGTTAGACATTAACACCGTTGGATGCCAGCTCAGTGGTCTATCGGTTAAGGGCTTCGGCTGGAAGCTGGTAGGTCCTGGGTTCGAATCTCGCGCGAGCGGGTTCGTGGATGCGCACTGCTGAGGAGTCCCATAATAGGACGAAACGGCCGTCCAGTGTTTCCAGGTTTTCCATGGTGGTCTAGCTTCAATTGACTCATGCTTTAAAAATATGAAAAATACTAAATCTCCACAAAACCCCCTCTGATAATTAATATAATCATATGCTCACCAGTGACTTCGAGAAGTATAACGAGGAGCTCTAGTGAGAAGCAGTGACCAGTGGAGTTCAAAACCACGTCTGTTGTGAGATAGGAACTCACTGAAGACAATTGGTGAATGGTTGCTCAACTTCGTGGATCAGTTGAAGTTAGACATTAACACCGTTGGATGCCAGCTCAGTGGTCTATCGGTTAGGGGCTTCGGCTCGAAGCTGGTAGGTCCTGGGTTCGAATCTCACGCGAGCGGGTTCGTGGATGCGCACTGCTGAGGAGTCCCATAATAGGACGAAACGGCCGTCCAGTGTTTCCAGGTTTTCCATGGTGGTCTAGCTTCAATTGACTCATGCTTTAAAAATATGAAAAATACTAAATCTCCACAAAACCCCCTCTGATAATTAATATAATCATATGCTCACCAGTGACTTCGAGAAGTATAACGAGGAGCTCTAGTGAGAAGCAGTGACCAGTGGAGTTCAAAACCACGTCTGTTGTGAGATAGGAACTCACTGAAGACAATTGGTGAATGGTTGCTCAACTTCGTGGATCAGTTGAAGTTAGACATTAACACCGTTGGATGCCAGCTCAGTGGTCTATCGGTTAAGGGCTTCGGCTGGAAGCTGGTAGGTCCTGGGTTCGAATCTCGCGCGAGCGGGTTCGTGGATGCGCACTGCTGAGGAGTCCCATAATAGGACGAAACGGCCGTCCAGTGTTTCCAGGTTTTCCATGGTGGTCTAGCTTCAATTGACTCATGCTTTAAAAATATGAAAAATACTAAATCTCCACAAAACCCCCTCTGATAATTAATATAATCATATGCTCACCAGTGACTTCGAGAAGTATAACGAGGAGCTCTAGTGAGAAGCAGTGACCAGTGGAGTTCAAAACCACGTCTGTTGTGAGATAGGAACTCACTGAAGACAATTGGTGAATGGTTGCTCAACTTCGTGGATCAGTTGAAGTTAGACATTAACACCGTTGGATGCCAGCTCAGTGGTCTATCGGTTAAGGGCTTCGGCTGGAAGCTGGTAGGTCCTGGGTTCGAATCTCGCGCGAGCGGGTTCGTGGATGCGCACTGCTGAGGAGTCCCATAATAGGACGAAACGGCCGTCCAGTGTTTCCAGGTTTTCCATGGTGGTCTAGCTTCAATTGACTCATGCTTTAAAAATATGAAAAATACTAAATCTCCACAAAACCCCCTCTGATAATTAATATAATCATATGCTCACCAGTGACTTCGAGAAGTATAACGAGGAGCTCTAGTGAGAAGCAGTGACCAGTGGAGTTCAAAACCACGTCTGTTGTGAGATAGGAACTCACTGAAGACAATTGGTGAATGGTTGCTCAACTTCGTGGATCAGTTGAAGTTAGACATTAACACCGTTGGATGCCAGCTCAGTGGTCTATCGGTTAAGGGCTTCGGCTGGAAGCTGGTAGGTCCTGGGTTCGAATCTCGCGCGAGCGGGTTCGTGGATGCGCACTGCTGAGGAGTCCCATAATAGGACGAAACGGCCGTCCAGTGTTTCCAGGTTTTCCATGGTGGTCTAGCTTCAATTGACTCATGCTTTAAAAATATGAAAAATACTAAATCTCCACAAAACCCCCTCTGATATAAAATAAGATCGAATCGTTAATGTTTTTGGGATGACTAATATGAAGTGTTAACTTGAATTAGTTTATAGGTGAATTAAAATCGTAAGATAAATTATCAGAATATATATAGTTGACATGGGTGTGAGAGATAGAACAATGGGATTACAAATCGGAAATTACGTAATATGTAGAATTATATAAATTAGGTCAGATATAGTAGATAGGGGGTGGATGATAAATAAGTTTCTATAAAAGGTTAGCAGGTGTGATAATAATAATAATATAGATAATAATAATAGTAATAATAATAATAATAATAATAATAATAATAATAATAATAATAATAATAAAATAATTATCACACCTGCTAACCTTTTATAGAAACTTATTTATCATCCACCCCCTATCTACTATATCTGACCTAATTTATATAATTCTACATATTACGTAATTTCCGATTTGTAATCCCATTGTTCTATCTCTCACCCCCATGTCAACTATATATATTCTGATAATTTATCTTACGATTTTAATTCACCTATAAACTGATTCAAGTTAACACATCATATTAGTCATCCCAAAAACATTAACGATTCGATCTTATTTTATATGACAAACAATCCTTGATTCACATATTACAGTTTCTTCAATTGATGTACTCTGCCTTAAACTTGGCCAATCTTCTTTTATGGATTATTAATTTATAATTGTAGAACCTGATGAGAAATTATTGAAAAGAATATTCTTCGTTCATATAATTGTTTTAATATGATGGGAATTTTTCAGCGATTGAAATTATTTGACAAGAGTATACTTAGGTTGATTCGTTGAGTTCAAACGTACACCCTGTAAATAACACGATTGTTAGGGAATTATAGGTTTGTTGACCTTAAATAAATCGATGGAACCCGAACTAACAACGATTGGTGAATCCAAATTTCTGTGAGTATAAATTGCTCACGATCAAATGCAATCACATTCCACACGAAATCACAACGTAATCTGAAGAATGGAAGTCAAGCTGTTGTTTGTGCCGGTCCTACTTGTTGTTTTTCACCTTGTACTGTGTGCGAGTATTCATGGTAAGTCAATATCGTGCACTTTCATTTCATCGCTTTTTCAATACCACACTGTGTTTCGTAGTTTATCGTGTTGAATGTGTTAGTTGAATTCAGTGAATCAGACTCATTTGAAGTACTTTGAAGAAACAGTGATATGAATGTCTGACAGCGGCTGTGGAAAACCTGTTAATCCATATATAAGATGTACAGGAGTAATTCGACCGTTTCAACTTGCATGGTGAAAGCATGCTCCAAAATGAAGCAATATTCAAGCTATTGACTACTCAGATCATTGTCAAAATTAACTGATAGTGTACGTCATGCATATACACATCAAACTACAACGTATAATTTCGCGGTTCAACCAAATTTCATGCACACAAATTTCTGTGTATACAGAAATCAACAACATGAATCAGATGGCATAACATTCAATATGCCTCATTCATTGTCTGGATAGCGGTCGGTTCCCCACTGATATGAATTCTTCGGAAAAATACCATGCGAGAAAAATACTGTTCCATTAGAACTGTTCTTTCATATCAATTTTAGTGTTTTGCCGTATCATATCTTTGTGAATTTCTCCATTACTTTTCTATCAAGAATTTCAGTATGAAAGCAAGCCACAGAGAATTGTGCACGTTCACTATCACATATCTCTAAACTGTATGCACGATTTTGTTCGAATAATATTGATCATCACTGAGTGATCTTACTTACGCCTGTTACCCCTCGTCGAGGAGCATAGGCCGCTCACCAGCACTGAGTGATCAATCAATTATAAATTCATCTCAGTTTTCACTAAACTCTGCACGATTTTGTGCATCGTTCATATCATCATGTTCTCTGCTGTTGTCATTGATTGCTTTTGTTTCTTCAAAATTTATTTAAGAGCATTGTAGTCAGCCGCTGCAAATAGGAAAAGGCAACGCAAATCTAGCGAGATTCTACTATGACAAATCCAAGAATCAATGTTTTCAATTTTTCTACAAAGGACTTAATGGCAATCAAAACAATTTCCGAACGAAAATTGCATGTGAACGGTATTGTGTGGTGAAAAAACGCAAATAGCATAAATCAGCGAAGAAACTTATCACGGTTGATGTTGCAAACTGAAGTAACGAACATGACATTATTAAACATTAAAATAAATCTGCATAAAAATACATGTGTTTTCTAAATCTATTGACATTGCCTTGTTTTCATTTCATCAGCCATACAGGAATCAAAATTCATATCCTTGCCGTGTAACTTCCTGATATAACTTCGTTTGATTTTCTGATAGAAATTATTCGGTTAATACATTTACATTGAGACCAGCACTAACAAGTTAATAATAGAAAAGATGCCATAAATTAGTCTTGTTCGTTGTAAGAAGACAATGTAACACATCGGCATTAATTCAAATCCTCATGTTAACATCGTAATGGAGCGTCTAAGTAGTGTACTAATTAGTACATTGTATATTTAAATTTTACTTTGTTATTTCGTGAAAAAACTGCTAAACGTACCAAATAAACCAATCGGAATACACGTCACTTGTGTAACCGCGATAAAAACAGTGATTCATGTCTAAATCGTTCCGCATGCAACATGAACGAAGTCGTTTCCACGGCATAATCAACCTAAATAATGGGTAATAAAATTCCATTTTACTTTATTTGGTCATCATTTGCGAATGTGTTTGATGTTAATTGAGTACAGGCAAATGAATTAGTGAAATTCGTTTTTAGTTGATTTTCCCCGACAAATTTGTTATGTAAGTTGTAAGTAGGACGTTATGTTCCCTCTCTCTCTCAACTACTTATGTGAGCTTTGTACTTTTTGAAACACACTATCTGTGCCGTCCGTAGCAAAACATAGATGCAAAACTATGAGAAAGATTGTCTACTTGCACATTCAACAGGTAACAATTAATGATGTAATAAGTTTCCCATATGTGAGTGTGCTTTATTACACCAAATTAAAATCTCTATTTAGGTCTTGGTGTTATTGACTTCTGTATTTTGTTGCCGTCTTGAACACTAAAAAGAAATGTCAATTCTCTTTGTTTTGAAAAATGCCCAGATGAAATAAATGTTCAGCCAGTATTAGGATATCATAAGACTGCAAATACTGGTGTTTTTCATAGTAAAATGTAAAACATGTCTTCCATTTATTCTCAACAACGATTACGATTTGAGCAACAAGCTCACATATGAAGACATTTGTGAAGAGTTTGCACGTAATCGAGACAACCAGAATAATGTATGCGGAATAACGAAGGAATACAAAAACGTTTGAGGAATCAATGCAAAACGCGAAAATATATGGTAATTATTGCCCGGTTTGCAATTCTTCTTCAGTCTTTAATCGTTATATGCAGTGGTAAGAATTTTCTGTCTCTCGTATGATTACATTCAGTACCATTATATTCATAGATAGTCGATAATGTAGGGTTGTTTTCAGCAACCATGTGTTTAGTGAGTGGACTGAGTGCAATAGAATTTATATTTCGTCAAATGATGGATTAGTATTTGCGAAACACTTAGACTTGGTTGAAATCTTTGGACGTTATTTACAAGTCCAAGTTCAATATTTCAGTATGCTAGTGAGATTTGATATTGCAATTTTTCATTGATGCGCATGAAGATCATCTTATTTGAGAGTATAATGCACATTAAAATTGGCCCGCGGCTTGGAGGCTTCAATCGTTTGAGTGCTGAAGTTGTACACGGTATAGCAAGAATCTAAGTTCCAGATATAACAACTGGTGACTGGATCAACCTTTCAAATTGTCATATATAAGCGCATAAATACAAAGTGGTTCTGCTTAAACTTCAAACTTGTTGATTTCAAATATATTTCGTATTCCTAAATAACATCGTATTTACGCATCCACAAAGAGAACTGCTGCGATATATTTCAATGTCAATTTTAGTCAGTGATGTTCAGTTTGAAAGTATTTCTTATGGTTTTGATTATTTTTGGTGACTTTACTCAAATAAATCCAATCTATTCACTGCATGCACTCCGTTAAATAGCATTTCGTTCACACGATAACACAATGCTTACATTATAACATAGATGGTTTCACATGAGTGCTGCTTCAAGCTACATGGTCGTCAAAGAAAAGAATTTGCTTGGTGGAGAAGGCGATTACACAATATGAGAGAGAAATAAGAGTATTGTTTTCAGAGTTCTTTATGGTTTTTCACCAAGACATTGTATTTTGTCTGCCATTCGTCATTCGTTGTTTTTGTCGCGACTGTGTTATGCCTTTGGGTCAAAAAGTTGTTTGCCTTCTTATGAAGGTCTTTAGAAATAGATGTTAAACACTTCTTTTCAGATGCATTACACTGATATTATTGAATATTTTCAAATTCATGCGAATCATTTATCGGTGCAGCAGTAATTTCATCTCTCATATTTCTTTTAAATAAAAGGTGCTCAATAGTGAATTAGAAATATAGGAAAATGAATCTGTACCTTTCATCTTGCAAAATGACTTACATCCATTTGATAGACACAACCGTCCATTATTAGGTGGTCACTCGAATATAACTCACCACTATGCTTTCACTTCATGGATTTTAAAATAGCGTTCGACAGCGTAGGTAGAGGAACACTACGAAACCTGCATCGCTACGATAGTGTATTGAAAAAGAGTCAATGTCGGACGGAACTATTATGACGGAGTAGTCTGAAGAGGTATTTTAAAGGTGACAAATGACTGTGGCCATCCATGAGAAGATCGGAGTCAGACAAAGCTACCTACCCGCTCTCATGGTGGTCGAATGGATTACGAGGAACTACACATATCAGAAGATGCAGACGGTGCAGAGCTTGAACAAGGTTTGATGACATATGCTTCACAGATGACCTAGCTCTTCTATACCACAAACAGAAAGAAATGTATGGGAAGACTGTCTCTGTCACAGCAGCTTCTGTATCAGTAGGTCTCAACATAAACAAGGGGAAAAGCAAAAATTTGAAATACAACACGTAGAAGTAAACCAAATCACACTTGATGGAGAAACTCTGGAACAGATGGAAATTTCGACATGTTTGGGCAGCGTCGTCGATTAACAAAGAGTATGCGATACACACGTGAAGGCAAGCATTTGCAAAGCAAAGTCAATATTCCTACAGTTGAAGAACATATGGAACTCAAAACAACTTTCAACCAACATCATAGTCAAAATCTCTAATGCGAACACCTTAACAGTTCTGCTGTACAGGGCTGAAAAGTGCAGAACTACCGCAGCCAACATCAAAGCGTACAGGTATTTCTAAACATATATCTTCATAGATTACTGGCTGTCGGTTGACCGGATACCATAAGCAACAACTTACTGTGGGAGAGAAGAAATCAGCTGCCGAATAAACAGAAGAGATTGGGAAAAGTTTCTGGAATTGGATAGACCATACATTGCGGAAATAATCCAACTGCATTACAAGGCAAGAAGGTTAGTGAGAGACCGATGAATATATTACGTCGGGCATTGAAGGTAGACATCAAATGTCTGAATAGCAAACGGAAAGAAACTGAGAAGGATGGTTCAGGACACAGTTCGTTGGAGAACGCTGGTGGGTGGTGCATTCTGCTCTATGAGGGGTAACAGGAGTAAATGAGTATGTAAATATATTGAATTTCTGAATTTCACTGTTTTCGAGTGTAGTTGCTTTCTTCAACTTTTGAACTTGTTTGTTGATGTGTTTGACTTCAGATATTTCGGTTTCAATTTGTCTTTGGTTTGATATTTAGAAGATTTTGATCCGGTCACCAGAAAGAATTAGTGGTTTGTTTTTTAATTGATATTAATATTATCAGGAACATATTTGAGTCGATTACTGTAATTTGCGAATAAACTTTGGCTCCTGAATTGCGGTTTGAATCCACTTGTATTCGGGTTGATGAGTTACAAGTAGATCGATCTATATTGCTGCAAAGTTTGCGTAAGAATGACAAAGTATTTCACGTGAATCTGTGAGTTCACTGCAAAATCTTCATTTTGTATTCAAAATGGAAAATCTTTGGTTTACTCATGCGATTGTTTGGAGTAGATGTAGGACAATTTGTTGTAAAGCTACTTTGAAGAGAATCGAGCTGTTTTTTCATCTTTCTTACATACTATGATTAACTGAGATTAGGGATTTGGTTTATCTTCAGATCTAGCGGTACATTCAATTTCAGTTTGTATGACTACTTATTCAATCAGTTTACGTCGAATTACTGCTGATGAATTTCAAAGACAGTACACTCACCTCTTACAAGTTGAGAAGGCATTCAAGTTTGGAGATTATATAACCATGTATGACAACAAGGATGTAGAAGAATAAAAGATTCAGAAACATTTCATACCTCTAAAACATATCAGACAACAAGTGAGTAACAGCAAGAAAACTTTGAAAATACTTCCAGAGTACTTTGTTAGACAGTACTCTCATCTATTTGTTTCTGCTCCCTGTAGTGTATTTCAACCTTTATTCAGTTCTCTCATGGTAACACTTAATGACATTCAGTCTTCCTCGTCTTGGCCATTATTATGTGATATGGATTAAGGACTCAGTAACCTGGTTTTTCAGTTGCATGTTGCCGGACTATTGACAATAGAGTCGTGTTTGACCTAACTCAAGGTCACAGCATGTTTCAGTGTATGCCTATTAACTCTCAACTATCTGCTTCGGAAGGTTGCTGGAATATCTGCAGATAGATATCTGATCCTATCTTGTTGTGAATATGTTTCTTGATTCTCAGCACGCTAATTCGTGTTGGGGAAACCCTTGATTGTATAGCACAGGCTGCACCGTTTGAGATATTTTGCATGTTTGATATAATTTGTTCTCTTTCTTAAATTAGAACCGTTTAAATTGGGCAAAGAATTTTTGTTTTTATACACTTTAATACGAGTAACCCAAAAACGCTTTCTACGCTATACAGAAGGACGTAGTCTGGTCTAATCGAATAAATTTAGTTCGTCAGTTCGGCGTTCAAACTGCATATCAACGATTCGATAATGACAAAGTAAATTAACGTGAATCAACAAACACGATCGAATAAGTCAATAAAACAGCAAGATATTGTAAACATTTTTATTTAAAATGACACATCAATTTGTCTACCCAACTCAGCACAAGGTTCAATGAGAATTAGTTCGAATAAATTTCAATAGAT